AAAACCATTAGTTGCATAGTTGGCTTAACTTTCCCTTTCCTTAACCAAACCCCTTGCTGCCAAGATACTTTACTAAGGAAAGTATTTTCTCTGATGTGCAGCATCCTCCATTCAATCAGGACACATCAGCATGGGGGAGGAGGGAAGTGGAGGCAGTTGGCTTAAATCTATTTTTTTTTCTTCTTTCTTTTCCCCCCTTCTTTAACTAATGTAGCTTAAAATAAGAGATCGTGACATTTTCTGCTTCAAATCAATAATTTAAAAAATCTTTGCTGGCTGCTTTAAAACTGGAGCCATGAACTAGAGCTATAGAGAAGCAGCGATAGCTGCCAGTTGGGGCATATTCCTAGTTTGGCTGTTAACATACTAATTTTGGTCTAGCTGTAAATTACCTACAAATTCAGGCTGTGCTCTTGAAATTGCTTCTGCTGCTTTTAATATGCAAGCGTGTGTCCAAGTGCAATAAGCCAAAAGAGCAGGACGTTTCTGGCCATGGTGACTGTATTGTCTGTTTAACCAAGGAGTCCAAGGAAGTTCTGTCAGTCTAGATGTGACCACACACAAATGTTTCCTTTTTTCTTGAAAAGGAATGACAGAGAGCACTTCTTTTCTCTATTTACGTGTAATCTTAAAACAATATTATCTACATCAGCAAGATCTTGTAATATAGATCTGTCTTGACTCATTTTTTATTATTGTTATTGCAAAGATAAGCATTAACAATTAAATATGTTTTGATTGCATAAAATCTGATTATTCTAAACAGCTGACTGCTACTGTAACTTTATAGCTGTAGCTATGTAACTGCAAAAACCACAGGGGACAAATAGAAAGGATGTACATTTTGCTTGGCATGGATGTATTCATTCATTTTTGAGAGATTCAAAGCACTTTCTTTTTTTTGCAGGCCATGAAAAATGTTCATACAACTTCTTGTACCACTTTACCTATTTGTTTTCAGGTGCTGGGTGTAGTCACAAGAAGTTATTTTGTCTACGCATATACTCTGAACGTCACTCATACTTCTGAGAATTCAAGCCTCTCCATTGGTATTACCTGGCATTTAAATGGACTTCTTGGAGGCTGACGGATGATCAGTTTCCTTATGAATCCTGGTTTGTTGAGTTGTGCCTTTATACTTCATTGCACATTTCAGATCCTTCTTTGCAAAGGCTTTACCAGCACAGAAGTTTTTTGGTTTACTTTTTTTGTTTGTTTGTTTTCTTTAAACAAAACAAAACCCACGACCAGAGTTGTTGAGTATCGTGTTTTGGGAATCACATCACAGCTGTAGCCTCCTCAAACACTGTGGAAAGAATCTACGTATAAAGAGATGTAGCTTTAACTTTGGTCTATATCTGACCAGCAGAAGAGAAGAGATCATGCTTCTGCTGAAATGCCCTGTGTGAAATCAAAGTCAGTACAGCAACGCTGTAATTGCCGGGGCTCCTATCCTGTTATTCTGTTATAAAAATAACAGTATGGATTTTCATATGACCATTATGAATCCAACCCCTATGACTCTGGACAATTTTATTATACTTGCTGAGTTGTCGGTATTATACGTACCTATGATTTGATGACTACCTTACTGCTTTTGGTCCGCTACAAATTACATAAGGGATATGGATGTCATTACAGAAGAATAAGATTGCTGCTGAAGCTCCATGTTTTGTAGGAAGATCTGCGTGGTAGGTTAATAGTTCTCAATGTTTCTCTGTGTGTCAAGAGTTTACACCGTAGGTTAAAGAAATAAAATGATTTCACGTTCTTTTGGAGTTGGAAGTGGGACAAAGCTCAGGAGACCTGAACAGACACATCAGTTACTGCTTTTATGGGGTCTGCTCTAGGATGCACCAGCTCTTCATGTAGGGAAGTCATGATAAAGCTCTTGAGAGTAGAATGAACCATTTCAGACTTAGTGGTTCAATTACTTCTTGTTGCTTATGATGAAACAATTAGTGTGTGTAAAAGAAAATCATTCATGCCACTGGGAGAACTTGTAAGCCACCAGTAAGCTTGTGTGTCAGATCTCTAGGGAATACTTTGAATAACACAGGAGGCTTCAGCTTCTTCAAAGGAGACTTGGCACTGAGTGGTGTCTGGCTATTCTTTTTGTGCTTAATAAGGTGTCTATGGGGCAGGATCAATTGCTCAAGTTCATATAGCCTTTTTTATTTTTCCTGTCTATTTAATTCATCTGACCACAAGTACCTCAGTAGTCCTCTGTTTTCCTATTGCTTATCTTTTTGGATCTGGACAACCTTTTATACAGTATGAAATGATGCCTACTTAAAGTGTGAAACCTGTAGGCTTTCTCTAGCAAACTTTGGCACAGGCCAGTAAGAAAAAAACTATTTGAAGAAGTATCTTAGTATGTGTCTTCCCAGTTTGGGAAGACCTTATCGTTCTGGGCTTGCCCTTAAGTAGCCAACAGAGAAGTACAGCTAAGAGAGGTGGGAACATATCCATATATTTGGGGTCAAGGCTTCTCTCTATTTTACAGTTGTTTTTGAGAACTTCTCAGCCATACCATTACTTGCGTGGAGGGGCTGCAAATGGCATGTTCCCAAAGAATCTCAGGTAAACTCCTTTGTTCAAGTTATAGGAGATTTAACAAAGTAGTCCAAGTGATCCCTGGTAAATCTTGAGTCAACTTGATCATTACAGAATCTGTAAAAATGTAAAGTTTTTATAAAGCTCAGATAGCTTGCCATCTCTGTCCCAAAATGCTTACAGGCTGGATGTGAAGGGCAGCTAATCATTCCAGCAGCTTTCTCCCTTGAGCCCTCTTCCCAACTCTAGACCTCAAGCACTGGCAGATCTTAAAGTAGCTGTACGTGCGTAGTGAGAAACTGAACTCATGATCTGAAGGTGGAGTAGTGCAATGAGATAATGGCCCAGTGACAATGGAAACAGATACCTCAGTGTGTCTCTTATGAGATCAGTTGCTCTGTGAGAAAATAATAATAAAATCCAAGTGAGCTAATAGCATAGGAAAATAACTGGAGAAATCGTGTTTGATATAACATATTGCGGAGGTCTGCTGGATAGTGGAAGAAGTCAAGGCCTCTTATAAGGAATGATAGGTCTATCAGGTGTTTTGAATGTTCTGGGGACTTTCAGGTAATTCGTTTGCAAACCACAGGAATTAATGAAGCTACTTTGGTCTCTGCTAGCTGAACTCTTGTGATCTCTCATAGCTGACTCAAATATTTTTGGAAGCGGGTGGCTCACTTTTTCTGCTCTCAAACAAGTCTGTTTTAGGGCTGTTTCTTCAGCACTGCTTTCTTATGACAAATGACTTCATTAGTGAGAATTCTGTCTGCATCCTTTTCTGTCCAAAGCCTGCTGGCTACGGAAAGACTGCAGGCAGCTTTACATGCACGTTCAATTTCCCAGCAGAAAGGTCTAATTCTGTACCTTTATTCACTTTCAATGCTCATCCTTTTATCTTCTATAATAGCTTGTATGTTGAAAGTGCATTTTTAATTAAATTGTTTGCATCTTGTATGTGTACAGTATGTTCACTTTGAGGGCATTTTTATTACAGTGGAAGGGTGGTGAAATGTAATAAGTCTCGAGAATAATTAAAACCTGTGTTAACTTGTATATGTTTCTAGTAGCAATTGAACTTTGTTTTGAGTCTCTTCTGGGTCCAAGATTAGATCTTAATCAAGTAGGAAGGAAGGAAGGGGTAAATAAAGAAAGGAAGGGTTGTTTGTACATACCTGTATAAATTCTTACCAGTTTAAGGTAAATCTCACCTGTTATGTTAAAAGGTATTTAGCTTGAGAAAGTTTCTGTGTTCAATGCTTATCAAGGGAGAGAGGTGAGAAGTGGAATAATATTCTAAATCAGCTGTTTGGGCTTTTTCTTTTTAACCTGTCTGTATGTAACAGACATTGGTTTGGCCACCTCAATTTACACTGGAGGGAAGAAAGCAGAGCAACCTGGAAGGGCTTTAACAGCAGCACAACGTGACAGAGGAAATATAAAAATAACCTGAGATTTTTTAAGAGAATGTAATAAACTGACGCTCTCAGTTCAGGAAGCTAGAATGTCTAAATCAGAAAGATGTGAGATTTTGATTTAAGCTTTGACTTTCTGTACTAAATCATCAGGTTCTTGTATCAGAGCATTTTGTGTAGTCAAGTTCTGGAAAGCCAAGGGAGGCTGCAACTTCCAAGTCTCTTCTTACAGAAGGGGCAGACATTTAATAATTTTTCAGCACCTGAAGACTTGAACGCATGTTGAAAAACCACCCTTGCTAAATCAGTGAAAATGCCAATAACATCACTTTCTTCCCCAAAACACTGTAAACAAATCTTTGCAGATACAAAGATGAGATGAAAAAGGGCTGAATTCAAAGACAATTAGAGTTCTCTTGCATGAAATACTTTGGAAAAGTGTTAATTTGTCTTTTTTCACTGAAAAATGCATTTACATTGACTTCTAGATTATCTGACTTTGCCAAGGACAGCAGGTGAGGTAACATTACTTACGCAGTCTTTATCAAGATCTATATCAATGATATCTTGTTTATATCCAGGTCTTATGGGACTTAGGTAACAGTTTTGAAAAGGATAGTAGTTCTGAAGATGTCTCAAATATTAAGCCAAATTCAGGGACTACGCTAAATGTTAAATGCTGGATCAGTCTGGAGGATTGTTGAATTTCTGGGAGAGATCCATTTAGGTTAAACTAGAGCTAATTTCTAATTAAAGCCCCTTTTTAAATGTCAGAGTATTAAATCTTGCTAGCTGAAGCTAATTTTTAATATTACATAAAATTATATTTAGTGAATATACTAGGCAGGCCTTCACAAAAAAAAACAAAAACCAAAAAAAAACCCTAAAACAAAAACCAAGGACTTATGTGATCATTCTTCAAGTACGAATAAAGGGAAAAGATCTCCAAGGGACGGATACATTTCTGTTTCAGGCTGCCAGGATTTCCCAAGAATGACTGTAAAGAGTTGCTTATTGTTTATTTTTCAGGTTGTATCACATGCTGCTGATCAGGGAGTTGCCATCACTGGGAACAATACTTTTAACAACTGGAACTGGCCTAATGCTGTGATCTTTGCTGCTACTGTAATCACTACAATCGGTAAGTATGAACTTTGCTAACTGTTTTCCTTATGTTCCAGTGTGTCTGTACTCTTCCATTTCTGTATCAAGCTAATCACTGGATTATCTTGATATTGCTGGAGTTCCATAGAGTACATGTGTTCATAGGCAGGTTTGTAGAGGAAAAATGTCTTTTGGCGCTTATGCTTTTTCTGTACCCATGAGTAGTCTCTCTAATAAGTAAGATTCAAGAGCTGTTGGAGTTGACTGCTGTCATTGCAGTTTCATTCATAAATATGCTTAAATTAACAAATCATAAAACCCTTAACAAAACTGTTATAAAACTTTCTGTTAACTTAAAGCATGTGCATATCAGATTTTTTGCATAACTATCCTATTGCTCACATGAATCTTTATATGCTATTGAATTAGCAGTATTCTTGGCTTTCAGAACAACCTAGACTGTTTTTAATCCACCTCTTAAAGGAAGCAAGGAACAAGGACTGTGTCTTGTGCTTATAAAATCCTCTGCATTTGACATACAGATTTTCAGAGCTGAAAATCATCTGCCATCTGCTTCTACAGAATTTTTTTTTTTTTTTTTTTTGCTAGAAGTTATTGCTACACCCTGCCTACACCTACAATGTTAAAGAAATAAAAATAAAAATAAATCCAGGAATGCAAATTCTCCAGAGAGAGGAGTCTGGAGGTTTGTGTAAATGGAAGTCTTACTTCTAGGTCACATACAGCACTGTGTTTTAACTTATTACTTGAAGCTCTCAATATCCAGCTTATAACTTAACTTATGACACAAAGCTGAAGTCAGGAGCACAGCTAAACAAGAAAACTCTGGCAGAAGTTCATAAACTAGGTTCCTGATTTTAGAGCCTGAGTTTGAACAAAATTCAGTTGGACTACTTTGCAGTGTCATGACACACATCTCGCTTAACACAAACCCTTACCTTGGGAAGGCACCAAGCCACAATGTAAATGTGCTGAATGCATCTTTCACGTGAAAGCTTACTTCGGGGTGAATTTCATTTCGTAATGTTGATTCAAACTCAACCTTAAATGCTGCCTAAGGTTGGGAAATCTTATTAGAGGTTTTGGGATGAGTTTTTTTCTCATGTTTATCTCATGTTGTCAAGAAAAAGATGCATGCTATCCAGGGAGCACTTAAAATGTAGTACTTCTCTCAGCCTACTCTAATGGGATACACATTTTCTGGAGTAATGTTGGAAGGCATCCAAATTCAAAAAATCAGCAGCTGGAGTAGACTAATGTTGTTGTATATGATGAAGTAAGGAGCATCTGATACAGCAGAAGCCCACGCAGTGTTGTTTAATGTATAGGTAGAATTGCCTTGAATTCTCCAACAAGAACAGGCCATGCACATACTTATCTCTTTCAGGTTACGGAAATGTTTCTCCAAAGACACCCTCTGGGCGTCTCTTTTGCATATTTTATGGGCTCTTTGGAGTTCCTCTGTGCTTGACGTGGATCAGTGCTCTGGGGAAGTTCTTTGGAGGACGTGCCAAGAGGCTAGGCCAATTTCTGACAAAAAGAGGAGTAAGCCTGGTAAGATCCTCTGCTTGTTTATCTTCCTGCTGTTTATTTTTGACTCACAAATCAAGCTTACAATACTTAATTTACCTGTTCTTGTGGTAATAAACAGACACTGTTACGAATATGAATTTCCCAAATGTTGCTGTGTAAAAATAATTGAAGAGGGCTAGATCCTATATGTTAATTCTGCCAGAACTTTTAGCAAATGATATCTTGTGGAAACATTTAATACTAAATATAAATACTATAACTTCTATGAAGACATGCATCTCCCTACATGGGAATCCTATAGAATCAATTAGACGAGGCTTTAGTTTCACAAACGTTCATTGCAAGCTCCTGTAGTATGGAAATAAGTTGTCCTGCTTTGCTTCTACATTTGATTGTTATGCTAGCATGAGCATTTTACTGTTATGCAGTGAACCAGCTGAAAAACATTTTGTTCTCAATTATTCTTTCTTTTTGTTTGTTTTTCATGTTGGATGAGTTTTATCTCATTTCTAATAACCGCACAGAAATGGGAGGGAATACAAGGACTGAGCTTCTGGAGGAGGGTGGGATTGGTTTAGGCCTTAGTTTCAGAAACAGCCAGAATTTTCTAGGTTTAGCATCTGAGAAACTATGTGTATGATGGTGAGATGAATGTGTGTACCCAGCTTTGTGAAGCAGGCTTTTTGCAGAGGTTAAATGAGTGGCAAATGGTAGGAAGTGTAAATAGGAGAAAGGCAGCACAAACAGTTCTGATCTTCTATATGCACTGTTGTAGAACATCACAGAATCGCAGAATCACCAAGGTTGGAAAAGACCTTCAAGATCATCCAGTCCAACCATCCACCTATCACCAATAGTACTCACTAAAATATAATTGTGCTCACAGCAGTGACCTTTAGTGATTACTTATAAACTTTTAGCACAAAATCTGAAATGGCTGGTACTGTTTTATGATGCTCAGTGCCATGAATGGAAAATAAGATTTGTTTGCATGACTCTTCCCTCTTTCTTTACAGAGAAAAGCACAAATTACATGCACAGCTATTTTCATTGTTTGGGGTGTCTTGGTCCATCTGGTTATTCCTCCTTTCGTCTTTATGGTGACTGAAGGATGGGATTACATTGAAGGTCTCTATTACTCATTTATTACTATCACTACCATAGGATTTGGAGATTTTGTTGCTGGTAAGTAATTATATTTCACGTATTGTTTCACTACATGCACAGTGTGGCAATTCTGCTTCTAAACTCATATTCTAAAAAAGCTTTTCTGAACACTTTTTTTCTGAATAAAAGATTCAATAAAAACTATGTACTGCTCCAATTGGCCTTTCCATCTTGGGTTAGGTACATAAGGCCTTTACTGGGCTTAGTCTGAAGCCAAGCTCTGGAGTTTGTAGTCCTCTCAGCTTCCCCAGGTTCTTATTTCAGGCATGAAGCTTTCCTATCTACTACAACAGTTAATCACCTTTAAAGGGGCATATCAGTGCTAAGTGATAATTTCTGAGCAGCTGTCTAGAACTAGTTAAACAGAAAATGCTGAATCCTTTTTTCAAGCCAAGTGCCTATATCCATATTTTAAAGTCTGGGGGAATGCTTATAATTTTCCAAACACATGGAGTGTGTGCTGCCATTTGACATTGTACTCAGTGGTTAGATTACATGCAGCTAAGAAGTGGAAGACCTAGAATCAACTTTGTCAGAGGGTTTCAGATCCCTGGTTAACCCCTCACAAAGCAGTGTTTTAAGAAGTAGGTTCTGCTAGAGTGGAATGGAGTATTTCTCAGGGTAATAACTCGGCTGCAAATCCGCTTGTAACGTTCTTGTTTTTTAATTCTTTCTAGGTGTAAATCCAGATGCAAACTATCATGCCCTTTACAGATACTTTGTGGAATTGTGGATCTATCTGGGACTAGCTTGGCTTTCACTCTTTGTCAACTGGAAGGTCAGTATGTTTGTAGAAGTCCACAAAGCAATCAAGAAACGGAGAAAAAAAAGAAAGGAGTCATTTGACAACCATCCTCGGTCTAAAAAACCCCTTCAAATGGGTACCTCAAAGGATGTGAACATTTTCAGCTTCCTTTCAAAAAAGGAAGAGACATACAATGATCTTATTAAGCAAATTGGAAAGAAGGCCCTGAAGACAAACAATGACAAGATGATTAAAGTAGAAAATACCAAACAAAATATGCAGAATGCCATTAAAGATGCTCAGGTGATTTACACAAAGTCAGAGTCATTTGAATATGATGAGTCTTCCCTGGACATTCAGAACGGTCATGTTTTGAGACATCTGCATGATAAACGTATTGGAGACAGTCCTATTGAAGGAACCATGTTTGTAAACCAGCTGGACAGGATAAGTGAAGAAGAAGGTGAAGTATGGGATTCCAGAGACTATCGACCCTTAATATTTGAGAATGCCAATATAACATTTGTAAATGAGGATGATGATGAAGAGGAAGATATCTCAGATGATGAGGAAACTTCAAAATCCTCAATGGATGATAATATTGTAGAGGAACCTGAAATTGCAAAAAACCTAGTAAAATTTCCATCGTCTGATGAATCTACCTTTACCAACAATGAGCTAGAACTTTCTGTGCCTTATGAACAACTGATGAACGAATATAATACAGTAAGCAATGCGAAGGCTGCAACGTGAAGTGAGCTTGGTAGGGGTTTTCTGAAAATGATCAATGCATATCGAAGAAATTAACAGAGCAAGGAGAAAAGCTTGTTTTTGCAGCTTCTCCTGTCTCTTTGAAAACAAAAGCAAGTCCCACACTAATAACCTCCAGTGTTCTTTTCCCTATCTTAAGTTGGTTTCTGAGCAATGTTTATCTGAAAAGACTTGTAAAATACCAGTTGAATTAGGAGTCCTACTCCTTCTTGGAATTTTATGGTTCTCAAACAAAGTAGACAAAAAAAGACTAGTTAATACACTGGACCTGCTCTGCGTTTATGCATTTCATTGAGGAATTAGTTTGGGAGTGTAACTACACAGTTGCAAAGAGTTTGTTTCAGGCATCAAATGTGTTCGGTTACTTCATTAGCTCTTCACCTCTGAAAACCTGGATTTAAGTAACGCTTTGATCAGAAATGGAAGCAAGAGGTTTGCTTTTTAAAAAAGGTACTCGTTATTACCACAAAAAATGGTGAAACCACAAGTTCTTGATGAGAAACTTTGAATGGAACACTAGAGAAAAACAGATCTGAGCTGAGGTGTGCTGGCAGACTGAGGAGGAAGCTTTAAAACATCTGTCTAGAATATGTCTGTGCTTGCCAAGTTATAATGAATTGTAATTTTGTGAATATAATATTAATATTTAAAATTCCATGGAATGGATTGAGAAGGAGCTCTCTAACAAGGAAGAAATATCTGGGATGAAGCTTACCAGTTGGGCTGCTAAACTGCAACTTGGCCCCAGAACTGTTGAAGAGTAAGGAGACTGGAGGATCTACTGATCAAAGCATGTAGGAGCACAAACAAGATGCAACTTTTTAATGTTGAAAGTGTCCTTCCACTGTCCAATTCCTAGAGGAAATACTTGAATGAACTTTATACAGTATCTATGTATGTGCAGTTGAAGTTTCAGTGATGCTGTTCATCTGAGGGTAAAAAAATTGCCTTTGGAGACATAGATATTCTCCAAATGCCCTAATGCCTGTCAGAATAGACCTGTAGCACTACTGCTGACCTGTGCAGTGTGTTAGTCAGTATTGTTATTTGATGTTCCTCCCAGCCTTGGTACTTCAGACTAGACTTGAATGAGAGATGATTTTTGAAACAGTTCATTATAATTTGCTTATTTGATTTGTTTTAAAGCTTGACCTATGTGCATATGCAATGGTTATTCTATCCTACTTTCAAGAAGGCTGAACAACATCAAATCCTGTGCAAAACTGTGATATCATCCAGTGACTTAAGAACTTAAGTCACTTTTTAAAAGGGACTTTGGCTTTATACTCCTGAAAGTATTTGGGTTGGAAATGGGCTTTTAACTGAGAAGGAGCTATCTCTTTTAATAATGTTTAAGCCCAAATTATTTTGGCTACAAAGAAAATTATACCGTGGTTTTTATTTTTCTTTCTTTTTCTGTACCGTGCATTAACCCTGACAGCTCTCACAAACATGGTTCTTGATTGCATGCTGGCAAAAAGAACTGACTATGGTTATATCTGATATACTTGGAACAGAAAATAGCCAAGGCCTTTGAACCTTAATATGTCAAGTTCTGTTAGTTTGTATAGTTTCACTGTATTTATGTCATTGCTGTGTGTCCTAAAGTTTTCAAAGTTCAGTGAACAGTTAAAGGATGTCTCATTCTCATTTTCAGTGTAATGCTGGCAGACTTGCTAGCTTTGTAAGAAAAGCATATGGAATCTTGCAGTGCTAATCTTTAATTACTAGACTTTTCTAATAACTGTGGATATTGGCTGCATCTTCAAGCGCTGGCCTCTCCTTTGGAAACTGGCACTCTGGATATCCCGTTGACAAGAAGTTTTGAAGTCGTGACTGTGAAACAAGGGACTGTCTTTATTCTTTTTTTTTTTTTTTCCAGAATCTTCCATGTATATGAGATTTCTCAAAAGAAAGTGATCTGTCTTGCTGACAAAAATGTGGAATCGGTGTAGTTGGAGTCAGCTGTTAATGTGTATTTGACTGGTGAAGGGAGATTGTGATTTCAAATCCAACTGTATTATGTTATTGCCATTTGGAGCAGGGGTGGCTGGATGAATTTGACTTGTGCTATCAAGAAGATTCTGGTTTAATTCTAATTGACTCCCCCATCACATACACACCTCTGCATTGTTTTTAAATGACTCCAAACCCTCCTTCAACTTCTTTTATATCTGAAGGAGCGTGGTTGACAGCTGTACTTTGTAGCTGTAAGAAATGTTAGGTAAGAAGGCATACCTGGTACAGCAGCAAGTCTAGCCTTTTTTTTTCTTCTTTTTTTTTCTTTTTTTTAAAGAAAATTAGAAAGCACTCCATATAGCTTTTTTGTTCTCCAACTTGTCTTCCATTATTGATGCAAAGATTGAAGTTTTAGCAACAATTAGTAAGCTCACGACAATAACGAGAGAAGAAGCTTGCTGAAATTGTATGAAATGGAAAAGCATAGTCAAGGTTTGATCTTCATTTCAAGAAGTAAATGAATAAATTTCTGTTCAGTACAGAAATAATACAACAATATTTGGCTGGGCTTTGATTGGGAGGGATGTTGCATACTGAAGCACAAACTCTCCATTCTCTGTTGCAAAGTGCTGCACTTGTATGCCAGAGCTGAGAGTGGCTGGTATCTGTTTCGTATTATCAAGCTAGATGTGGCTCTTTGGCCTTTCCAAGTGTAGTCAATGTAGACTGTGTGTATATATAGTGGGATTTAAAGTAATGGTTTAAATTTATTTTTAAAAGAACAAAATTCCCACTTTTTTGGGGAAACACGATCACACCTCACAAAACTGTTCTCAAGACATCCCATCACGTGCCTTAATGAGTCCTGCTACTGGGAGAAAAACAAATCGTTTTTACTCAGGAGCCAACACAATTGGTCTTGTTAAGCCCTGCTTATTTTCAGTGTTTTGGGGAGTTTTGTTTGGCACACAGCTTTCATGCTGGCTCTCTCCAAAAATTTGAACCATTTCCCAGGGTTTTAAAAATTATGGTGCCAACTCAGAAGTACTGAAGTGCTATGCCAGACAGTTTTTTGTCTGCCTGTCTTCCATGTCTTGAGAAAAGTGACGTAGAGGAGTGTTCAGGCTGGATTTTGAGCTGTTCAGCTTCCCAAGTGCCTCTGGTTAATTTGAATGAACTCCCCAATGCTACTTCATATAATTTTGTAGTTATTTTATTTATCTGGTCAATCTGGAAACATTTTCTTTGAAAACCACATAAGATTTCATTTGACTAACTAGCTGATCTCTTCATGCAATGTAATTACTTTTTATAGGTGAGGTAGATCTCCTACTGGAAAGAAAAATTAATTTAAAAAAACAGAATACATAAAAGCAATATAGAAAACAAATGGAATAGAAGTGAAAACTCTTCTTGAATGGTATAGATAGATACCATACCATAGATGGTATTTTCAGTTGCATCATGTGAGGCATGGGTCTACTTCCACAACAGTAACTTGCTAATTTTACCAAGATAAGCCAGTTCATTAATAAATAAATAAAATCTGGAAACATGACAACAAAAGTTTGTTCCTACAAAGGTCCTCTTTAATATTATAGACTAGCTGACTTCATCCTTCATGACATTGTGACACTTCTTGCATTTGTCCTATGCTATTGAAGCCTGTTTTTAGCAAAAGGGTGGCTTTTTCAGATATAAATCTCACAACAGGCAATCTGACATATCTGATGACACTGGTACGAAATTGCTAAGGAAATACAAGAAGTGGTGTGTTACTTTTTTTCTGAACTAATGCTTTTTGAATCTGTTGCTGGCAATGGATTTCAGAAAACATAAAGAAGTAAAACCATAGACTGATAACAGAGCCATGGTGACACAGTTGTGTATTGTGTATATTTTTCTCCAGTTGAACTGAGAGAGTAAAGTAGAAACAGACAAGCATTGCTGATGAGGAGAGCAAAAAGCAATATACAAGTCAGTTGACCTGAACAGAAAACCAAGAATTCTGTTGTAGACTTGTAATTTTTGTGCCTCATGAGATTCATTCCATTTGTGATGGACTTATGTTTAAAAAAAAATAAGCTTGTCTTTCATATGGCTTTTGAAGTTTGTACAGTTCTTTCTTTATCACTCCATAATATGCCTGTCTGTTCTTTGTTGCTGATTGTCACTGGAATCACACTGTATGTAAATATTTGCTAAGTCTTTTAAAATGTAATTTATTTTAATATTTTGCAATAAAAATTTTAACATTTACCTTCTCTGACATGGGGTGAATGGCAGTCAAGAAATGAAGTTTCTTCTTATACGTCTCTGTATTTGTAATGCACCTCACAGATAAGACTGGTGCTGTTCCAAAGAGCTTGAAGGCGTACGGAGCTGATAAAGCGAGGAATATTGGTGACCAGTTCAGTAGCATCTAGTCTGCAATTTGATACAGATACAGCTCAGCAAAATATAATACAAGCATTTTGGGCAGCTATTGAATAAGGTAGGAAAGTTTATTCTGTGGCACTGTTTTTCACAAGGCTGTTTATTTTCACAGAAGGTATACTGAGACAGGAAGTTTTCCTTGATTAATACTGTGATAAAGTAGGAGTGACAGCTGTCTGCATCTCATCCCAGAGTCATTGAAATATCTGAGTGTCAGTTAATGAATTTTCATGAGGATTCTAGCAACTGTTCATATTCTGTGGGTCTGAAAGTATTTACACTGTTTCAAATCAGCAGTTGCCTTAAAATGCCTTAGAAAATAGATGACCTTTTGCCTTAATGTGTCACAAAATGTGACTCAGTGATGCACATGATAGAGATGGAGATACCTGCAGAAACTGGGCCAACCTCAGCCTGAGGGAGTAAAGACAGCTTTTGGGCAATGGGGTGAAAGGAGTGAGACGTGAGCTGGGACCAGTGGGAGATGCATAAGTACAGGAGAGAAAGGTGGATGCTGTCATGATTTGAGTAAGGGTAATCAACCTCTCCATTTTCTCCCTATCCTCAGAAAAGCTCACTGAGCAGAGAAGAAATAGCAGAGGAAGAAGAGGTGCCGGACTGGTGGCTGATGCCTGTAAGAACCAAAAAAAAAGGAGGTGGGGATTCTCTCATGATGCCCATGGTAGAACATAGCATGGTCTGATGTGTACTTGATAATATTTCTATCAGATCTCAGCAGGCTGGAGTTCACAGACAGCTCTCAGGATTTTAGTAGAGAGTTAGTAATTTCAAGGAGATAGGGTAGCAAGAAGTAGGAAAACAGGATAAACCTGTATTTGTTATGTGCCTGTTCTTACAGTCCATGGCTGGCTGTGGGTTCCTCTGAACGTAATAGCTTAATAGATATAATCACAGACCAGCTGACACTTAGAAAAAAATTGAATTTGAACACATATCATAGGTCTTTATAATGTGTGGTGCAATGTGACACCAGCAATCTTTAGTTCATGGAAATTCAGAACTCACGCCTTTAATTCTGGAAGGTGAAAACAGTGATATAGCAGGCAGAGATCTACTGGTTGGGGCTCTTTTACACAAGGGAATGCTACCTCAGTTTCTTTAGGACAATTTCCTGAAGCTGGATGAAAATTCAGAAGAGCCTGTTGAATCTCTCTTGACAATTATACAAAGATCTGAAAGGCAGATGCGGGCTCCTGCCCTACAGCTTGATCTGGGAGAGTTGCCTTATGTTTATGTTTTACACTTTGTGCCTTTCAGCATGGAGTTTTCCGTGTGTGTTTTTTTTAAACTTTAGCTTCAAGCTTTCCCTGGTAAGGTTATTAATACTGTATTATCTAGGAATAATGGCTTGGGCAGAGCACAGCGTTCATTAGGTTTTCGCTTCTTCCTGTTTCAAGAAAAATCCCACAGAGAATGCTTCTGACCAGCAAGCAGACTACAGGCCTCCTCCTCATACCCTGCTTAGCTTTGCAGTGGACCTCGGCTTTATCTCCTCTTTATTCATCTTCCTCTTTTGTTCCTCTGTTCCTGAGGAACAAGGGGAAGCAATGGGTGGCTGGGAGGAAGCCATGCTGCAGCACATGTCGCATCCACCCTCCCTGTGGTCAATTTCCAGGCTGCCCTATCATATGCAAGTCATGGTGAGGAGGATTCTTGCCTCTTCCCAGCGCCCCTCACAGACACACTGAAGCAAGCACTCAGTCTTGCCTTTTCCTTGCAAACCCATACCAGGTTTACCCCTCTGCTCAGTTATGTTTATTACCTATTGGTCTTGTATAGCATGAGATACTTACAGGGCTTCCTAAAGGATTGCTTTTGACTTTCACACTGGCAAATACCTTGTACTGCAGTGCGGCCAATGCAGCATCTGCTGCAGGCAAAGGGTCAGGGATGTGTTAGCAACCTTGATTGACATGATTTTTGACTCAGTTCCCAAGAAAACCAGACTGTTAGGGTGTGAATTTGGATGATGTTTTGTGGGAACACAAGTGTCAAAACAGGGGTTCTATGACTTGAAATGAAACCAAATTCAAGTAGTAATTTTCTTGGATGATATAGTCATCCTAACATAGATACAGTGCCGGAACTGAGAGGAACACAGAGGTCCAAAATGAAACACACACAATACTTCAGCTCAGTGGCCAGGGAAATCTGCTGCTGCAAATCAGAAGGTTTAGTCTGGTAGTCTGGAAGAGGAGAGTTGAGGTGGGATGGAATGTACTGTCCTGTAGTCTCTGTCAGGTAGCATGTGCTAGCAAGAAGGACTCCTGATGTCCCAGTTTCCAATTACAGCCCACGGCAAGAACTCCTTCTAATTAAGTAATTATCTGTGCGTGCATATATGAGAAATTTATTCATATATGAGAAGTATTCCAGTGGAATACTTGTAAATTCAAAGTGTTGGGTTTTTTGTTTGTTTGTTTTTTAAGTTGAACTGGAGCAGCTATGTATAAAACACACACAGGTTTTTATTTTTAGAATTATTTTTATGAAGAGTTGGGAGTTGCCTCTCTATTGTCTCTCCTAACTGCTCATTGGAAGGTGTAGAAAAGATGGTGACAACGCACTCCATGTATTTTGTTGGTTATGTTGTTTTCTGCATGAAGAAGATTGTGGAAAATAGGCCTTATCCACCTTTTATTCAAATTAGTGTGGAACTGGGAATGATAGAGATAGCAGAACAAAAACTCTGAATATGTGAATTCTGAAACTGGAGTGAAAGTCTTAAAACTTATCTGAAGTCAATGTGAATTTTTATCCTATATTTGTTTTTTAATTTACTGTGATAAATTTTAGGAAAATTCTTTTGGATGCTTCCCTAAATACATTGAACAGAAGCACGCATGTTTTCAAATTAGATCTATGCATTACTTTTTCAGGGGGAAAAAAAATACTTAAAGACTTTCACACACTTTTAATCTTATTTGAATGTGACAGTGATGTGTGGCACCATGAGATGCCTTTTAATTGTAAGGAGAATGACCACACAGTATGAATGAATATGGTCCTGCTCTGAGAAGAAAAATCCTGTTCAAGGGCTGTCAACAGCTTTGCACTGTTTTATGGACGTATGGCTTAGGGCACTCACTGATCACATTTCTGTTTATCATCTAGTTAAGTTTCTGGGTGTATAAGGAAGTATCATAATTAATTCCTAATGCTGTTAAGATCAGAGACAAAAATCCTTTTGTGTGCTTATTTGTGGGTTGGGCCCTGCTTACGCTGATCAAAATAAACGGAGTGCAGAGGAGCACTTGTTTCTACATACTCCTGGTTGCTGGGCATAACTTAAAAATATGTGCATCCTTGAATGTGAAATTCATCCATGCTCAGGTTGCAGTAGAAACCGCAAGTGTCTGAAGCTGGAGGATAAGAGTTTATTCACAAAGCTGTGTTGTCCTTTCCTGGCAGCCTTCATATTTGCTTCTTATCTGTGGTACACTGGCAGTTAGTGAAAAGTAAAGGAACAAATCAAGACTTGAGCCACAGACAACCTCTTGATATTTTCTATTCCTCTGAGCCTGGGAATTTTGCCAATCCCATCTCTAACCCGACTGGAAAGGAAGGAAAAATAGTAAGTTAATTGGTATGCTTTTTAATTGCTGATTAAAAGGGGAAAAGAACACAAGAGCAAGAGTGAGCAGCATGCCTTGGACAGTTGAGGGAGGGACACTGCCCTCTTCGACAGGTTTTGCGGCTGTCGCTTTTTAATAAAAGATGGAAAATTGTTGGCTTAGTTGAAAGGAATACAAGGAGGACTTAAGGAAGGCAAGCTAGGCTTTAAGATTCTTCTGTGCTGTATTTCTTCAGAAAGTTAACAATTTCTGTCTTAAATTAACGTGAAATACCATGCTAGAAACTGAGATAGGTATCAAATAAACGCAAGATAAAGTAAATACCTA